CTCCAGCTCACAGATTTCTGACTCTGCTCAGGAAGGAGGGCTCCAGAGCAAACTAAATTATGCAACAGCCAAATCACTTGCTCACAGCTTTAATGCCAGTAGCTCACAGAGTAGAATTTTTGCTCACAGGACTCCACAGCTTAGAGGGAGCATTGCTTCCAACCAGTGTTCCCTCTCAGCTGAGTTAGTGTGAGCTGGCTCACAGTTTTTTAGCCTCCAGCTCACAGATTTCTGAAACTTTAATGCCAGTAGCTCACAGAGTAGAATTTTTGCTCACAGGACTCCACAGCTTAGAGGGAGCATTGTGTGACACATGACTGTCGGGGGGGGCGGGGTGTGTGTGCTTCTGCTTGGCTAGCCCGTGGCTGTTCTGGGTGCAAAACACCCCAATGTGGGGATGTGAGGCGTCTTACCTGCTGCTCAAAGACTCGGAAGTGACCTGATGTGTGCAACGGTCTGCAAAGTAAAGAATATGTTTATTTGCACATATTGCATATTTATTTTTTATTTTATGTCCTACCTTGCTCCTCAGTGGGGGCCAAAAACGGCTTATGTCATTCCCCACTTCTCAGTTTTATCCTCACAAAAACCCTGTGAGGTAGGCTAGGCTGGGTGTGTGTGCCTGGCCCAAAGGATAGATCAAGATGGGTAGCCGTGGTAGACTGTCTGTAGCAGTAGAAAAAGGCACCTTAAAGACTAACTCATACCCTGCCACATATTTTGTTAGTTTTTAAGGTGCTGCTGGAATCTTGCTCGTTTCTACTTCCGTGGTGGAGTGGGGAGATTCGAACCTGGGGCTCCCAGATCCTAGCTGCATGCTTTCAGAAGAAGAAGAGATTGGATCTATACCCCACCCTTCCATACACAAAGGAGTATTGGAGAGGCAGGGCCGGCTCGCTCACTAGGCGAACTAGGCCTTTGCCTAGAGCGCGCCAGCCCTTAGGGGCGCCAAACTGCACCCGCCCCCCGCTAAAAGCCCTCTCCCTGACCGGGTGACCACTGTTGGAGGAGGCCGCCCAGGCCCAAGGTGGTGGCGCTGTTGGTGCTGCCGGGGGGCCTCATGGAAAAAACCACCCACCTGCCTTCGGGGCTTGGAGGCGGCGCCACTCCCGGGCAAGCTTTGCCTCGCCTCGCCGGCCGATTGGCTGCACCAGGTGACACTAATTAAATTAGACAGGGCCCTAATTGGGCCAAGTTGCCCGGGACGCCTTGGCTAACCCCGAAGAGGAGTCGAGTCCTGAGGAGAGCCTTCCGTTCCTGGGCACTTCGGCTAGTCTTTCGGGCGGGCGGGGGCACTTTCTAGGGCACTTTCCGGCGAGTCGGAGGCTCGAGGGTGCCACATCTGGGGAGCAGCAGCATCCAGGCCGGAGTGCAAGAGAAGGGGTGGGGGTACCTGGGTGTCCCCAGAAGAGCCGCGGGTTGCGCCCTTCGATAAAGGGCAACATAAAAATGTGCTAGACAGAAAACGTCTGCCACAGTAATGTGTTGATCCTTACTGTTTTGCCTGTGCAAGTGGATTTGAACCCAATTCCTGTCTGCTGTAGTGGATTTGAACCCAAGGCCTGTCTGCAGTAAACTGACCCTCTCTCCGCTAAGTTGTGTAGCTGTTGCGCCACAGGGTTTGGACTTGGTGGAGTTCCTTTCTTATTCTTTACTCCTTAGCCACAGTCCCTTCCCATACTGCTCATATAATCTACAAGAGAGCCAGTTTGGTGTAGTGGTTAAGTGCGTGGACTCTAATCTGGGAGAACCGGGTTTGAGTCCCCACTCCTCCACTTGCACCTGGCTGGATGAGCTTGGGCAAGCCATAGTTCTGACGAGAGCTGTTTCTGTCAGAGCTCTCTCAGCCCTACCTGCCTCACGGGGTGTCTGTTGTGGGGAGGGGAAGGGGAAGGAGTTTATAAGCCGCTCTGAGACACCTTTGGGTGGTGAAGGGCAGGATATAAATCCAATCTCTTCTTCTTCTACAACCAGTTTGTAAAAACACCTCGTGGGTGGTGTTCCCTCTAAGCTGAGTTAGTGTGAGCTAGCTCACAGTTTTTTAGCCTCCGGCTCACACATTTCTGCCTTAGCTCAGAAAGGATGGCTCCAGAGCAAACTGATTTATGCCGCAGCCGAATCGCTTGCTCACAACTTTAATGCCAGGAGCTCACAAAGAACAATTTCTGCTCACAGGACTCCACAGCTTAGTGTGAGCATTGCTGGTGGGTGTCGAATTTGATTGATTGTATTGATTTATTCTGCGTGATCCGCCCTGAGTCCTTGCCGGAAAGACAGACTATAAATAATGTGAGTCAGTAAGCGTGCTACGTTTACCGAACGTGTGCTCATGCGCCCCGTTAGTCATATAGTGCGTGTTGTGTGGCTTCATCCTGCAGTGATGCCCGTAAGAGGGGTTTAGTGCTGCGTGTTTGAAATCACGTTTTCCTAACTCCACTGACCGCTTCTTCATTCTTTCTTGAGAAGTCACCACTGCCTTACGATTCTCTGCTCTGAATCATTTGTACGGGTTACGGTTCTTATTACTTTAGGCGTGGAAAGTGTGCGCGCATGTGGCTGTTAAATTCAGATATTTTAAGTCTGCTTTTGTTCCAGACACAGCGCTGCTGCACAGGAGGAGGAGGTAACTGCATGAATGTGTGTTGCGTGATGAGAGATGCGCACTCTGAATATATCATACCCAGGGCTAAGTTGGGAGTGTAGCCTGTGGACTTTTTTAAAGTGTATGCGCTTTCGTTTGGTTGCTTTTTTCTTAAGGTTTATGGGCTTAGGATTTGGCTCTCAGGGCCAAGTTAAGTGTTCAGTTTGATGTAGTGGTTGGGAGCGCAGACTCTAATCCAGGAGAACCAGGTTTGATTCCCCGCTCCTCCACATGCAGCTGCTGGTGTGACCTTGGGTCAGTCACAAGTTCTCTTCGAGCTGTTCTTGAAAGAGCAGTCTTCGAGAGAGCTCTCGCAGACCCACCTACCGCACAGGGTGTCCGTTGTGGGGAGGGGAAGGGGAAGGAGTTTGTAAGCTGCTCTGAAACTCCTTCGGGTAGTGAAGGGCGGGGGTATAAATCCAATCTCCTCTTCTTCAGTGAAAGACTGGATAAACATCTGGAGCAGAGGTCCATCAGTGGCTATTTAGCCACAAGGTACAGAAAGGGACTCTCAGTCTGGGGCGAGTGGTGCTCTGTATTCTTGGTGCTTGGAGGGGGGGCAACAGTGGAAGGGCTTCTGGAGTTCTGGCCCCACTGCTGGACCTCCTGATGGCACCTGGTATTTTTGGCCACTGTGTGACGCAGAGTGTTGGACTGGATGGGTCATTGGCCTGATCCAACATGGGCTTCTCTTAGGTTTCTTATTAGACAGGAACTCTCGGTCTGGAGCAAGAGATGCTGTGTATTCTTGGTGCTGGGGGGGGGGCAACAGTGGGAGGGCTTCTGGTGTCCTGGCCCCACTGCTGGACCTCCTGACAGCACCTGGTATTTCTGGCCTTTGTGTGACCCAGAGTGTTGGGCTGGATGGGCCATTGGCCTGATCCAGCACTGGCTTCTCTTATGTTCTTATGACCTGGGAACTTCTAAAAATCAGCAGGAGTGTAATTTGGAGGGGGGGGAAGCAGGCAGGGAAGTAGTGCTAAATCCTTCTGCCCACTCCCCCCTTCAGGTGTTTTTCTCCAGTTGGGCATCTCAGAGGCACACACTTGCTGTGGCTGTACGAAAAGCATCTGGGGGAGCGCAGGGAGCAGAAGAGCTGGGTGCTCCACCCCCATGTGCGTCGGCTTCCCTCCAGGTGGGCTCTCCGCCCCAAAGCTTTTCAGTTATTTATGCCGGTAGGCAGCCCCCTCCCCTATACCATGTGGCCCTAGTAAGGAAAAAAGCGTTCCTAGAGCCCTCTATGTAAACCGCCCAGAGACCCTTCAGGGTTAGGGCGGTATAGTGAGTCAAATATATATA